TCACCCTAGCTCACCTGCTCGCGCCGCCGCCGCCGCCCTCCACCTCGCCCACGCCGCCGCTCCACCCTCCACCTCGCCCACGCCGCCGCCGCCGCTCACTGACTGCCACCTCGCCCACGCCGCCGCTCTCCACCCTCCACCTGACCTCGCCCACGCCGCCGCCGCCGCCGCCGCTCACGCCGCCGCCACCCCTCACGCTGCCGCCACCCTCCTCCCCCTCCCTCGCCACCTGCCTGCCACCTGCCTGCCTGCCTCTCGCCGGAGCTGCCTGCGCTGCTCGTCTCGGGCGCCTCCCACCACGCTTGGACGCACCCGTCGCTGCCCACCGACCAGCCTTCGGTGGAGTTGCAGCGCGCAAGGCGGTCCGGAGGCAGCTGGCGGTTTGGCTCGGCCTCTAGGGCGAGCGAGCGAGGCAACAGCTCGCTCTCCTTTCGCTGCGCGTGTATGTGTGGGCGGCCCCTGGTCGCGCGGCAGCTCTCCCGCGCCGCTGACGCCCGCGCCGATCGCGGGCCTCTCGCCAGAGCAGCTGTGCGTCATCGCGTGCTGCAAGTTTGGGGCGCCTTGCCTCACGTGCTGCTGCATCGGCAGGCTCTGCTCCAGGTCCTCTACGGGGTCTTTGGAGGGGAGGCGGCCGCGTGCTTCACGCCCAGCTTCGCCGCGGCCTCGATGCGCGACTGGTGCGCGTACGGGCCGGGGCCGGTGTCCTCGTGCAACAAGCTCTTCGGCACGGCCGACGGCGAGACTCTCGCGGGCATCCGCTGGCTGCAGGAGCACCAGCAGGAGCGCTTCGCAACGTACGGTCTGGATTTCCCGTACCTTCAGCAGGCGGACGGCACGCCGCGGCTACTTGCCGCGTGCGACCTCGAGCACTCGCTCTGCTACTTTTCGCGCTACCTCAGCGCGCGCGCGAGCCTCGGCGCCGCCGGCGCGGAGGCCCTCAGCCGCGCGATGCCGGCGGGCTTCCGGCTCTATCGTATCGGCAAGCTGCAGGGCCTGGGCGCCGCCAGGGTCTGGGAAGACTTTGACGCGCATCGCGCTGCTGGTGCGGGAGGGGCTTTGGGCGCAGGCCCGACGACGGCCGACAAGTCGCGGCACTACTGATGCGCTCGCGCAGTTCGCGACGCGCGCTGCCCGGTGGAGCGCTGGAGGGCGCTGGAGGGCACGTGCCAGACGCCACATTACCCCACATATCAGATACGCCCACGCCGCGCAGAGCGCCGCGAGAGAGCCACATCCAGACGGCGAGTCTTCCACACATCCATGACAAAACATTTGGGCAATATACAAAACTCGTAACGTAGAGTCCTTACGTATACTAGCTTCTACCGCGGCCGACGGCGCCCAGGCGCCAGGGCTCAGCTGACACGTGACAGAGACGTGACTCGTGAGAGCCGCGCGTGGTGTGTGCAGACGGAACCACGGAAAGCGCAGCGGGCAGAAATCTATGCAGGTATTGGCGCGGTGCGCGCATTCACAAAGGGGCCGCATCAGTCCGCTGCCGCGCGCAGTGCCCCCTTCTTAAGCTCCGCCACCTGGTCGAGCGCGTCGCCGAGCAGCCCCTTGGCCACGCCCAAGTCGCGCAGCTGCTCCACGCCGCCGCTCGCCCGCACCTCGGCGGCGTGGTCGGCCACGAAGCGGCGGCACTGCGCGAGGAGCCGCCCGTCGCCCGTCGTGTGCGCCGCCTCGAGCAGCGGCACGGCGGTCGCCAGCGCGACGCTCTCCTGCAGCGCCTGCGCGCAGAGCAGCTCGAGGCGCGGCACCTGGTACATCTGCGCCAGCTCCCGCAGGTCGAGCGCGCGCTGCGCCCTGCCGCCCTCCTCCTCGCCGAGGTCGAACTTGTCGGAGAGGAGGTAGTCGACGAGGGCGGTGAAGCTGGCGAGGTCGGTGTGGGACACCGTGACCTCGGCGGCGTCGCGCTCCTTCATGCCGATGCCAAACATGGTCCGAAAGACCGGGGACCGGGCGCAGAGGTTGTTCTTGCTCACGTTCTCGATGCGCTCCTCGTCGTCGCCGACCAGGAAGGTGACTTTCCCCTCTGGCAGGGAGGCGTCGCCCCGCGTCGTTGCGAAGTCGGCTGCAAGGGTCGAAGGCGGAACGACGATCGGGGCAAAGGAGGGAGGCGGAGGAGGCGCCGCCACGCAGACCTGGCGGAGGCCACCGTCCGAACCGACCAACAGCGTGCTGCCGTCCGGGCTGAGGGCGACTCCATCTGGGCCGTCGAACTGCGCCGCGTCGCCCACGCCGTCAGCGCTGCCCTCTGTGCCGCTGCCCGCGAGGGTCGTCACCTCGCCAGTCGCCACCTCGACCTGCCGGATCTTGTGGTTGCTATAGTCCGCCACAAACAGCGCGCTGCCGTCTGGGCTGATGGCGATGCCATTTGGGTAGCAGAACTCTGCCGCGTCGCCCACGCCGTCCGCGTCGCCACCCTCGCCGCTGCCCGCGATCGTGGTCACCTCTCCCGTCGCCACCGCAACCCGCCGGATCTTGTGGTTGCCTTGGTCTGCCACAAACAGCGCGCCGCCGTCTGGGCTGATGGCGATGCCAGCTGGACAGCAGAACTGCGCCGCGTCGCCCAAGCCATCAGCGCTGCCCTTTATGCCGCTGCCCGCGATCGTCGTCACCGCGCCCGTCGTCACCTCCACCCGCCGGATCTTGTTGTTGCTGAAGTCCGCCACAAACAGCGTGCCGCCGTCGCGGCTTATGGCGACGCCAGATGGGTTGTAGAACTCCGCCGCGTCGCCCGCGCCATCCGCGTCGCCCTCCTCGCCGCTGCCCGCTAGCGTGGCCATCTCGCCCGTCGCCACCTCCACCCGCCGGATCTCGTGGCTGTTCGCAGTCTGCCACAAACGCTGCGCTCCCGTCTGGGCTGGCAGCAATGCTGTTGACTTCACTTGCCGGCAAGGCTGCTACGCGGCGCACGCGCCCGGCCGCCGAGACCTGCTGCAGCGAGTCCTTGGTCGAGACGAACCAGGCGCCCGCGTGGTCGCTCGCAACGCCAACCGTCCCGAGTGATAGAGGGCCGTCCTCGCCCTCGAGCGCCAGCGTGGCGACCTGGCCGACGACGCGCGCGCCAAAGATGGGCGCCTCGAAGCCATCCGCGACCGGCACGGGCTCGTCCTCACCGACGCCGCCGCCGGTGCGGGCGCGCTTGCGGGCCGCCATTTTGCCGCGCGAATTGATGCTGGATTCGGGACACGTGCTTGTGGGGTAGACGTGCACTGTCTCGCGTCCACCCATACCGCGCTGGTGTCCAGTCCGAGCCTGGCTGTTTTTCGCCTTCCTACATACATACATACCTACTACCAACCATCGATTACTGACGTATTTACGCGTACCCCATCAACGGCGTCGCGCAGAAGCGCGCTCCCTGTACACGGCGCTGCGCTGTCACACTTTGCACGCTGCTCTCATTGGTGCCAAGCGGCGAGCGATCGCAGGGCGCGGGGCGCTGCCCCTCACTCATGCCACCTCCGCCCGGACCTTCTCGAGCTCCACGTCGCGCGCCGCCACCGTCCCCTTCAGCTCCGCCACCCGTGGACCTCGCCTCCAGTGGGCTCACCAAGTGCGGGTGCTGCGCCCAGATTTGCTGCCTCATCCCCAACAAACTTCCGGATGGCTCGGGTGGCAACGGGACGCGGCCCTCCGTACACGGAAACAGGATACTGAAGGCATTCCCGAACCCAAAACAGGATACTGAGGGCAGATATGAGCTCAGCTCAGTGAGATCTAGCAGCACATCCCTCAGTATCCAGAATAGTCAAGTCTGAAAAAAGTCGGTCCGACCGCGCGGAGCGGTCTGGGTGTCTGCAGAGCTTCCGCCCGGGCCCGCCGGGTCCTCTCGCGGCGGCATGAAGGGAGCCTCAATCCTGGGGGGGGGGGGGGGGGGGGCACTGATACTAGGCGCCCGCCGCGGCGGTGTGATGGCCGGGATCAACCACCTGCACTCGGATGAGCCGCAGCCTAATCTCTGCCGTCGCTGCAGCAGGCAGCAGCTTGCCAAAGGAGCTGCCGGTCGTCGACTTGCCGTTGACCTCGGCGATGAAGTCGCCCACGCAAAGCCCGGCGATGTCGCAAGCACCACCCTCGACCACGTTGGTGATTTGGTGGTTGTCGGGGTCGACAGAGATTCCAAGCGTCCCGCCCTTGCGTCTGAGCGTCACCGTCAGGGCGCGCTTCTTCGCGCCAGAGGAGCCGCCAGCCTCGTCGTCGGCGGTACTCCGCGCCCGCTTGCGGTGGGGAGTAGAGTCCGCGGCCGGCGTGATCACTTTAAGCGCCTCGTCAAACTTCCAGCCGGCCTGTGGATCGCGCGGCACATAGACTCCTTCGTCGGTGGGGAGGTTGAGGTCGAGGAGGCCGAGCACCGACTCCATGTGGTACGGGGCGGAATCGTCGACGTTGTACTTGAAGGAGTAGTCGCCGTCCGCGCCCGACTTGGCGTAGAAGTTGCAGTGGATCTTATAGTTGGCTGCCTTAGCTTCGTCGAACGGCACGGGGAGATAGGTCCGCACGTAGCTCCCCCTCTTGCCGCCCGACTTGCAGAGCATCTGCTGCACGCGGCCGCACCACCAGTCGAACCTACCCGCGCTGTCGTACGTGGCGATCACAACGTTCGTGCCGTTTTCGAGCATTGGTGTTGCACTTGTGAGCGGCGACTCCGTCGGCGGGTCGGCGGCGGGCGCCGCGGACGCGGCGGTGTCAGAAGCGGCGGGGCCGGTGCCAGTGGCAGCGGCGCCGGGCGCAAGGCCGGCGGGGCCGGTGGCAGCGACGCCGGACGCAAGGCCAGCTGCGGCGGGCGCAGGGGGGAGGGCGGCAGAGGCGCGGTCGCGGTCGAGGTCGAGCTTGGCCTGCTTGGCAGCGGCCGTGATCTTCTCTAGGCGCGACGTCGGTAGCTGCTTGCCGGCACCTGGCTGCTTGCGCTCAAAGAGGTAGGTGGCTCTTGCCGCCCCGAGTCACGGTCATCATCAGCGATATGGCCGTCGCCTATTGCCACGCACACCGCGCGTGGTAGATCGGATCACGTATTATTAAGCTCGTAATAAAATGAACAATTAATCAATAATATAATTAATAGTCAGTTTCGCGCACCTAAGCTTGCAATTACAACTCTCTAAAAATGAATGTTAGGGGCATAGAGGCACTCGAGCTGACCGAAGGGGGGGGTCGTCCTCGTCGTCCTCGTCGACCAGGTCAAGGATCTGCCGCGCCGCCTCCACGTTGTCAGCAGCACGAGCAGCCGCAGCCGCGTCGCGGTCGCGGTCTGATTGGCCGCTTGGTGCGGGAGCGGGCCTCACGACGTCGCGCCCTCCATCCGGCCCAGCCTCAGCATCCAAATCAATGAGCTCTGCCCTGCCGTAATCTTCGTCGGCCTGCGCCGCCTCTTCATCCGCTCTCGCCAGCTCCGCGTCTACCTCTGCTGCTGATGGCTGTCGGCCAGCCGCACCGCCACCGCTAGCCTCGCCACAGGCCTCCCCAGCCTGGACACCATCGTCACCACCGCTAGTCCCACCACTGCCATCACCACCGCCACCGCCGTGAACGGCACCAGCTTGGCCACCCTCGCCCCCACCGTCCCCTCCTATTCTCGCGTCCACACCACACCTGGCTCCAACGTGGACACACGCCCATAGCTCTACTAGGTCACGCATGGCATCAGCGATCAGAAGTTTTATCTCTGGGCCCCGAAAGGCATCTCTAGCACACACACACACACACACACAAAACAACACACACCTGGTCCGCGACACCGCGAGCGCCGTGCAGAGCAGCGAATCCTCGCTACCCAACGCGGCCAAAGGATATCCACCTCGAGAACCTCGAGAGAGCAGCGCACGGCCGGCGCGGAAATTTTTGGGCACTTTTTCGGTGCTGGTAGCCCCCCCAAAACAGGCGCGCGCAGCGCGCCCAGGGGGCGCCGCAGGCGCCCCAAGCGGGCGCGGAGCGCCGCCGCAGGCGGCGGACAGCAGGTGCGCGAAATTAAACGCCATTTTCGGCTCCGCGGTTTTGCCACTAACATTGAAATCCGGTACAAAACGACTTAGCCGAAACAACAGACAGACAGACAGAGAGCACACACGTTCGAGACGGGGGTGCGCCGACCACCGTCGCGGACCCAGTAGAGCTAGATGGTCCCACATGATGCGCCCTTAGCCTCTGAGCTCGTCCTAGACGTTTTAGGGAAGCGTGGGCAGACCAGAACGCGGCCACGGCGACGCTCCGAGGCTATCAGCAGCGCTGGCGGCGATCGTGGCGACGGCGCCTCGCCGCTGCAGCGGCACAGAATCGAGGAAGTGGCGTTGGTGGCAGCATCAATGAGATATGAAGGCGGCCGTAATGCTGGTGGCGCCTTCGAGGGCGGCGGGGAGGGCGGTAGCAGCGACGGCGGTCGAGTCATGTGGCAGGGGTGGCAAGATGCAGCAGGGAGGCTTGAGTTAGCGACGCGGGGCGGTGGCGTGCCAGCAGGTAAGCGGCGGCGGCGGAGAGCAGGTGCGCGAAATAAAGGTCAATCTTGAGATATCCATTTTGCACCACCTTTGGATTTCTGGTACAAATTGACTTGTGGATCTTGAAGGCACGCGCAAGAGCGCACCAGGCAAGTTGACTCAACCTCGGATCTCGCTGCCGCTAAGCGTGGCGTCGATTATCAAACGAGCGGTGACAGTAGCGGTGGCAGCGGCGGCAGCGTCGACAGGAGCACCTACTGCAGTGTCAAATGTGAGCTGGGAGGCGGGAGGCAGATGCAATAGGAGCGGGAGAGTGAGATCGTCAGCCAGCAAGGCAGACCTTTACGGCGCGGCTGCGGGCGCGTTTGCAGTGACATGCGATCCATGTGGCAGCAAAGGCACGGCGGGAGTAGCGCGTATGCAGGCTGGTGAGCGAGGGTGGCGCGTCGCGAGTGGCGGTGCAGCCAGTCGGTGGCGGGTGCTGGCGACCGGCAGAGAGATGCAGACGGCGCGAGAGATGACCCTGCGGAGAGGCGAGGTGACGGGCGATCCGCGACGGTGGGAGAGGGCTGAGCATCGCCATGTCTCGCTCCGGCACCATCTTGCCGAAGCGCAGGCCCGGGAAGGCGGTGTTTTTGATGTAGCGGAGCCGCGCCGTGTCGTGCTTGTTGTACCGCCCTTGGCGGCCGGCGTAGCGCTGGTGCACACCGTGCAAGATCGACTGCAGCTCGAGCTGGTGGCTGACGATGTCCTCGCCGCTCTGCAGCGCCGGCGACAGGCACATGGCGCCAGCAGAGGAGATCTGCGAACAGGGCGAGTCGACGCTGGCAGGTCAAGCAGCGTCGACTCGCTACCAGCAACGAATGGGTACCAATTTTTGTCGGAAGACTGACCTGTTGTGTGTGTAGGTGTACACACATGGCGCAGCCCGGCGCCGACGACGCCGCGGCGCGGTTCGAGGCCGCCGTGTGTCGGCTCGCGCTGCGGCTGCAGCCGCCAGCCGAGCTGGACGGCCGCGACGAGCTCGTCCGCCAGCGCATGGAGCGGGCGATGAAGACGCGGTGGCGGAACGCGAGGGTCGCCATCTTTGGCTCGGCCGGCACGGGGCTCCGCGTGGGCGCCGGCTCGGACGTCGACCTTTGCGTCATCCTTCCCGATGAGCAGCGCGGCGAGCGCGCGCGCGCCCGCCTCGCAGCGGCCGATGCCGAGCTCGCCGCTGCGGCGATGGCGCACCCGGAGGCTGCGCGGCAGAGCTCGCTCCTCGCGACGGCCGAGCGCGAGGAGCGGATGGTGGCCTCCGACCTGAAGGCGCAGAAGGAGAAGGCCGCCCGCCTCGCCAAGCGGCTCGCCAAGGAGGGCGGCGGTCACGACAACGAAGCCGACTCGCCGGCTGCACACGGGGGACCTCCGCCGGCGCCGGCGCCGCCGCCGCCGCCGCCGCCGCCGCCGCCGGCGGCGCGCGCGCCGCCTTCGCCTGGCACGCCGCAGCTACTCACGCTGCGCTTCACGTCCGCCTCGACGGTGCAGTGCCGCCTCAACTTTGCGGCGCTCGACCTGCCCCCGCCGCCCGCCGCCGCAAGCGAGGAGGCGAGGCTGGTCGAGGAGGCGAGGCTGGTCGAGGTCGCAGAGTTTGCCACCGCGCCGCCGCCGCCCACGCCAAAGCTGGCGTCGAAGTCGCCCGCCTCGACGACGAGGAAGAGGAGGCTGCAAACTCCGCCGTCGACCGAGGCGGCGCTCGCGGCGACCCGCGAGGCGGTCGCCGCCAAAGAGGAGCGCACCGCCGAGACATGAGCCGAGATCTCTCAAGATCTCCCGAGATTGCCCGAGATCACGACCCGAGGTCTCCCGAGTTGAAGCGAGATGGCGCGAGATCGACCGAGATCGACCGAGATCGACCGAGATAGGCGCGCCTTGCCGAGCTGCGCCGCGTGCAGACGGACGCTACGGCGGCCCTCTCCGCCGCCACGGCCGCATCAAACGCACTTTCAACTGCGCGTGCCGGCGTGAGCGCCGCTAAGGCGGAGGCAGAGGCGGCGAAGCGTGTGGTGTTCGACGTGGCGGGCGCGATGCGGAGGGGCGGCGGGAAGGCGTACAGCGACATCGAGCCCATCCGCCACGCGCGCACGCCAGTGGTGCGCTGCTGCGACACGGCGGCGGGCGTGGCGTGCGACGTCGTCGTTAACAACAGACTGGCAATCTGCAACACGGCGCTGCTCCGGAGCTACGCGCACCTGCTGCCCGCCTTCCGCGACGCCGCGAGGCTCGTCAAGGCGTGGGCGAGCAAGCGAGGCATCAACAAGGCGAGATACAGCCGAGAGGCAGCCGAGAGGCAGCCGAGAGGCAGCCGAGAGGCAGCCGAGAGGCAGCCGAGAGGCACCATCTCACGAGGCATCACCAAGGCGGCTGTCTCCTCGTACGGCTGCAGCTCGGCTACATCTCGGCTATATCTCGGCTGCAGCTCGGCTATATCTCGGCTATATCTCGGCTGCATCTCGACTGCATCTCCCCAGGCGGCCGACGGCTACCTCTCCTCGTACGGTCACGTCCTGCTGCTGCTGCACTACCTGCAGGCCGTCCGCCCGCAGCCGCTGCTACCCTAACCCTAACCCTAACCCTAACCCTTACCCTAACCCAAACCCAAACCCAAACCCAAACCCTACCCCTACCCCTACCCCGACCCCTACCCCCTACCCCTACCCCTACCCCTTTGCAGGCCGTCCGCTCGCCGCCGCTGCTGCCCGATTTGCAACACCCGGACCTGACCAAGCACATGCCCGCCGCCGTCTGCGAGGGAATCGACGTCCGCTTCCAGGCCGGCGGCACGAGCGACACCAACGACTCCAACGACACCAACGGCGCCAACGGCGCCGACGGCATCGGCGGCAGCGGCGGCGGCGGCGGGGCCGGCGTCGGCGCCGTTCTCAGCGGCTACTTTCGGTGGATCGCAAAGTACGCTGCTCAGAGCCCGCAGGAAGAGACGCTGGCGGTGCGAGGTCTAGCCGAGAGGCAGCCGAGAGGCAGCCGAGATGTCGCCGACTCTGTCGCCGACGCTGGCTGCGGCGCCCCTGGCCCGTCGTCGCTCGGGCGCTCTCTCGGGCGGCATCTAGCCGGGGCATCTAGCCGGGGCATCTAGCCGGGGCGGGGCCCCGTTCACAGCTTCTGCGCGTGAAGGGCTTCGCGCCTCACCCTCTCATACCCCAGCGCGCAGCGCCATAGCAGGTAGTCTCCTCTCAGCAGCAAGAGCCTGTGAGCAGGTGCGCTCGCGCGGCGGGCGCTTCACGCTCCCTCGCACCGAGTGCCGCTGGCACCGCCTCGCCACCGACCCGGCGGCCAAGGAGGAGGCGGCTGTCCATGTCTCCCCACACTCCCCCACACCCCCCCACACCCCCCCACACCTCCCAACACCTCCCTCATTCCTGCGCCGCAATCAAGACATCATTCACAGGCCGCGGCGTTCCGCATCTCCATCGAGGACCCGTTCGAGACGCATGACGCGCAGGCCTCGACTAGTACCCTACCAACCCCGGTACCCAAACCCAGTCTAATAATCGGTACGCATGACGCGCAGGCCTTGACTAGTACCCTACCAACCCCGGTACCCAAACCCAGTCTAACAATCGGTACGCATGACGCGCAGGTATCGACTCGGCGGCACGACATCGCGGCGCGCCGCCCTAGATGACGCAATACTCACCCCACGCGTCTTGCAACAGATGATGGCGGGCACACCCCGTCTCCCCGCACACACTCTCACTTGAGGACGCGATGCACGCCCCACCTCTCCCGCACACCCGTGAACCCATCCCACCGCCCCTGCACACGCAGGCCACGCTCAGCGAGCGGGGCATGGCGCGCCTCGTGTCGGAGTGGGCGTCGGCCGCCGCCGCGCTCGCAAAGGCGGAGAGCGCGCCCGACACCAGCGCTTGCGACCGCCTCCTCACCGAATGGCTCGGCTACGCCCCGCCGCCGCCCTCTCCGCCCGAAGCCAAGCCGGCTGCGGCCAGGCCGGTCGCGGCGAAGCTTGCTGCGGCCAAGCCTGCTGTGACTAAGCCGGTTGCGGCCAAGCCGACGGCCAAGCTTGCGGCTACAAAGCTTGCGGCTGCAAAGCCCGCAGCTGCAAGGCCCGCAGCTGCAAGGCCCGCGGCTGCAAAGCTTGCGGCGGGTAAGCCCGCGGCGGCTCAGCCTCTCCTCGTGCAGCTGTGCGCCGCCGCTGTCGGCCCGCCGCCGCCCGTCGCCGCCGCCGCCGCCGCAGTCCCCGCCGCCGCAGTCCCCGCCGCCGCGACGCCCCTAATAGTCCCGTCGCCGCACACCGCCGGCCGGCGGATCTTTGCGCGCGCCGCGCCCGAGGAGGAGGGCGGGGACAAGGACGCGCCGCCCGGGCACGCGCTTACCAGCCTCGCCCGGGAACCTGTCCTGCGCCGACTTGGCCGCGCCGCGGCGGCGCCGGCTCGCGGCGGGCGCGGGAGAGGGGGTGCCGCCGGCCGCGGTGCACCCGCGACCGAGGCCCCAGCTGGCAAGATGCCGGTGCCGGCGCAGGGCACGCCCGGCCGCGTGTACGGCGGCGCGGCGCGCGGCAAGGGCAAGGGGGCGGCGAAGGGGGCGGCGGCGGGCGGAAAGGGAGGGGGGCGCAAGGGAGGCGCATGAGATGGGTGAGAGATGACGCCCAGCTTGAGTCCTCGACTCTGGCAGGCCGGGCTGGAGTATGATACACATGAAAACAAGTGAACCATATGTCGCAGCAGAGATAAAGAAAGAATGGGAAAGGAGAAAGAAAGAGAAAGTGCAGCCGAGGTGGGAGATAGGTGCACCTGCAGCTCCTCGGGAGGAAGTGTGCGGGGGATCCAGCTTCCAGGCGTGCAGCTTACCGTATGAGTTATGTGCGTTGTGGCGGGAGAGGAATGGGAATGGGTGTCTCTCGACGAACGGATAGGCGGGGCAAGCGCGAGAGGAACACGCTTGAATGCCTGGCTTTTGGGTGTCTCTCGGTCGCGTCCCACCTTGATGGCATCGTCAAAGGCGGCGGTTGGCGGTTACTTTATTTTGAGTGGTTTATTTGAGCTAGACTTCGATGTTGATAGAAACAAGCGAAGGCACACACAACATGACGCCAAACACACGATTGCGCACGCACCGCACCGCACCCAGCACCCGCGCCCGCCCCCCCCCGGCCCCCGCCCCGCCTAGGTGGGAAAGAGACGAGGAGATGGAACAGCCCGAGGAAAGGAGCGAAACAAACACGTACGGGAGGGTAAAGTTGTGCACCACGCTGCCCGGCGTTTCTCACTTTCCGGGACAGCCCCGCCCTTGTGAGGCAGGAAAGTGGCGACTACCCCGTACGCCCAGTCCACTACGACCCCCTCGCCGACCGCCCATCCCCCCTCCCCTTCTTTGATTTTTCATTGCTTACCTGTGTACCATATTGAGCGGTTCGTCCGCGTCGCGCACTCGTCCCAATGGGGCGCCGCAGACTCGTTCTGCGCCCCAACGGCTAGTGTTGATGTGTTGGACCCTTGAGCTAAAAAAACCGAAGTGCGAAAGGGGAAAAAAGGACGCCACTTTTCCTTGGATAGCGGCCCCATCGATGCGTCGTGCCCGCTCGAGGTCAGAGGCTGCCCCCCCCCCCACCCCACCCCCCCCCCCACACACCCACCCACCCACCCACACAGCAGGGATGGGCTTAGAAGTGCAGGGGGGTCCGACGAGCAATGTCGAATGTGTGGCCCCCAGGCCGCACCGGGCTTGTGCGTTGCTGGGAGTGCCATGCGTGGCGACCCACGCATCGACCATCGGGCGTGCTTAGACCGTGACATAAAGCTTAGGCCCAAGCAGGTCGGCGCAACGGGGCGCGGTGTGAGAAGCAGAAGGAAAAAAATAACAAAGACGAAGGTGTGCTCACACCATGAGGCACATGGCGGTGTTGCGACGCGGGACCGTCGAGAGCGGCTGGTCTCCGAGAGGGGTCGACCGAGATAGCTCTCAGCGTACCGATGTTTTGTCATCCACACAACCTTGTATGAATGTAATAAAACCCTTGTAAACCTCACGTGTATCCTGCTTGTGACGTACAGCGAGAGCGCAACGTCCGCGCCCCCTTGACCGCCGACGGCTCAGCGCGAGCGGCGGTCGGCGCAAACCACGGTCAACGCCCTGGCCGAGGTCTCGACATGGGAACACCTCTCCACGGTCGGACGCCCACGCTCAATGGCGAGAGAGGGAGAAGGGGAGAGGCACTCCCATGCAAACCTGGGCGTGGGCCCAGACAGGGCAGGACGGCCGCGGGCGGCGCCAACGCGCGGCGCGGGCCCAGCAGCAGCGGCAGCAGCAACGGCAGCGGCAGCAGCATCAGCGGAACCAACAGCTCGGCACCTTAGCAGAGCCGACTCACCACCGGCACTGTCCGCGGGGGAGGGATGAGCAGCTCGCCGGCGAGCGTCGTCACCGCGTGGCCTGCGGACAACAACAACAAAGAAATGCCGGCCGGCAGGGCGGGGAATGGCGAGCGGCGTCACCCCAGCGTGTCACCGCGGATCCAGACGCGCGCGCTCGCGCCCTCCTCCTCCTCACCGCCGACCTCGACCTCGAGCTCGCCTTTTCACACCTTGAGCTGTGAAGAGGCGACCCTCGCCCTCACGGCCCGAACCCTCCCGAGGCGCGACCTCCTCCCCTCGGGGAATCTCGGGGAATCTCGGGGAATCTCGGGGAATCTCGGGGAATCAGGTAGAATCTCAGGAAATCCCGGGGAATCTCGGGGAATCATGCCGAATCCCGGGGAATCTCGGGGAATCTCGCACCTCCCCTCTGCGAGAGCTGCTGCGCCAGCATCGTGCTCTTGCCGAGCACGCCGCTCCTACGAGCCCACCGACAGCAGCGCGGGAAGACGGTATTGTGCCGTGTACTCATAGCACCGCGTGAGTACGAGCGACACAAGCGCAGTGAATACAGCGGAGTACAGCTGCGTACAGCGGAGTCCGCCCCCTCTCGAGCGCGGGTCGGGTCACAAGAATACGTGTTCCGCTTCTGGGGCGCCGCTCCAGTAGGGCGCCAGCGTGCAGTGCGCCGAGCCCGTCACCTCATAGAAAGAAAGGTCAGCGAGTCAGCCCGTCAGCCCCGACACACACACGTCACCGCGTCGTACCCTCCGGCGCATCTCGGCGCATCTCTCATCCCGGCGCATCTCGGCGCATCTCGGCGCATCTCATCCCGGCGCATCTCGGCGCATCTCATCCCGGCGCATCTCGGCGCATCTCGGCGCATCTCATCTCGGCGCATCTCTCATCTCGGCGCATCTCGGCGCATCTCACCGGGTCCTCCGGGATCCCGACAGCGGGCCCGAAGAAGCGCGAGACAAAGTCGGCCTCTGAGCCGGAGCCGGCGGCGGTGACGATGAGTCCCCGGTACGGCCTGCCACCATCGGACGAGAGATAGCCGAGGTGTAGCCGAGAGACCGCCGAGAGTCCGCCGAGAGACCGCGATCATACTGACCACTCTCTTGATCGCCCTCTAGCCGCCCTCTAGCCACTACTACCCTCTAGCCACGCGCCAGCGCGAGACGGCGTGCAGGTCAGGCGCGAGGGCGGCGACGGCGCCCGCGTCGGGCAGCGCAACCTGCGGCGATCTCGCGCGATCTCGCGCGATCTCGGATGGTCTCGAGCGATCTCGGATGGTCTCGAGCAATCTCGTGCGATCTCTGCTGATCTCTCTTGATCTCGAGCGATCCCGTGCAATCTCGGTCGATCTCGTGCGATCTCCGCCACCAGCAGATCGTCGCTCGCGCCCACGACCTGACGGCGCACACGCGCATGGCTTAGTGCTGCAGAGCCGGGCGGGTGTCAGGCCAGCCGTAGTCCGTCGGCCGCCTTGGCATGTGCGCGTGCGTGCTAGCCCGCTTCGTGTGTGAGTGTGCTGGAGTCCCTCGCCCAGGTCGGCAGGAGGGAGAGATCCCGCATCCAGGCCTCTCGAGAGAGGGGGAGAGATGGGGAGAGGTGGGGAGATCTTCCGCTTCTGCAGAGGCGCGCCACGACTTTATCCACTGGCAGCCCGAGAGCGAGTGCGACCTCGCCGCGGGTGGGGCCGACGCCGTCGAGCAGCGGCCTGGGAGGCGACGCCGGGAACTCGAGCTCTATGCAGCCCTCGCCTGTTCACCCACTCCCCTCCTCATGCCAAAGGGAGGGCAGAAGAGCCGACGCGGCCGCGGCCGCCCTCGCCGCGCAGCGCGGCGACGAGCTCTCCGGAGCGGGTCCCGAAGCGGAGGAGGGGCGACTCGCGCCCTCCGGGCGCCGAGAAGAGGGCGTGCGCTGCGGCGAGGGTCGCGTGCCCGCAGAGGTCCACCTCGACCGACGGCGTGAACCACCGCAGCTCAAACGTCTCGCCACGGGCGGGCTCGCCCTCGAGGCCCTCCACCTCGCTCGCGCCCGTCGGCCACATGAAGGCGGTCTCGGACAGGTTCTGGTTCGCGGCGACCGCGCCCATCCAGGTGGCGTCGGCCGGCGCGTCGAGCAGGCAGACGGCGGCGGGGTTGCCGGCAAAGGCGACCCGCGTAAACGAGTCGACGTGCAGCAACGCCGGACAGCGCTCGTCCGCCATCACTAGCGAGCTGAAGGATTTGGCTCGCAACCAGGGAGGGCGGCGAGGAGCCCGGCACAGCGCTCTTGCTCGCATGGAGCCCAAGCAAGTGGGGGTCTGGGTGACACCACCCACTGCAGGGCGGTGGGCGGAGAGGCAAGCGCCGCCTCGATGAGCGAGCGAAAGTAGCGGTTGATGTAGGTCTGCAGCAGCTCGGCACCCTGAGCACCATGCCGCTCGGATAGCAGCTCAGAGAGGCGCGAGAAGCCAGAGATGTCGATGAACGCCAGAGCACCCTCGTAAACCTCAACCTGCGAGGCGGCCGGCGCGGTCGGCGGCAGGTGGCTCTGTGCGCACCTCGCTGGGAACGGCGCACCGATGGACTGCGAAGGCTGGCGGCGTGCCGGCTCGGGTGCTGCAGTCGCCTCACCAGGCACCGCGGCACCAACCGCTCCAGCGCTCGGGTCTCCAAGCTGCTGCTGCTCATTCGTGGAGCATTGAACAACACTAAGCGAGCAGCTGGCCGGCGGCGAGTGTGGATACGCTGCGCGCAATGTCAAACCGACCTCTGTCGAGCCTGAGCTCGGGCAGGGGCTGTAAGGTAGTGAAAGACCTTCCCTGGGTCTGTCTCTCACACCCTCACTGTCGTCGTATGCGAGGTTCTCGTTCTTATCACCCTATCTGTCAACCTCTCACAGGCCAGCGCACAGCGCCATAGGAGGTATTTTCTTCTCAATAACAAGGCTGTGAAGGGCATAAGCCCTACTGTGTGAATTCGCGGAGCGAAGAAAATTTTATACGGAATACGTCCATTTTTGGAATACGGCGTATTCCATGGAATACGTGGAATACGGGTGGAATACGGCAGAATACAGGCCTCTGGGAGGTCAGTCGCTCCGCCGGCTCTGATCGAGTATCGGGCGTTGAGGGCGGCGGCGCAAAGCGGGTCTGGTGCGCCACGGCCACCACCCTTGCCACCGCCCTTGCCGCCGCCCTTGCCACCCTTTGCCCTAGCCTTTGCCGCCTTGCCTCCGCCGCGGGCGGCGGTGGGAGCGGCCTGCTGGGCTAGCATGTTGTCCGTGCTGTGGACGGGCACGTGGAACGTCAATTCATGTTCGAACGGCCTCCGGGATTCAAACAAAAAATAGCCGGGGCCCTCTCGCAACCCCTCCAACCCCCCGGGACCCGTGGGCGTCGAAGAGGCGCTCTCGGGGGGCCGTTCTGAGTTCATGCTACCACGAAGCACACTGTGCTGCGTCAAAGCACCGGCCCCGAGTCCGTAGTACGATGATGACCGCCACCGAGCCCGCCGCCGCCGCATTTTGAATTCTTTTTTCTCCCCCGGTGTTTCTAAAGACTAAACACCACCCTTCCCTTCTCTCTCGGGCTCTTTCGTCCATTTTCAGAATTCTTCCGTATCTTAGATTCCATTCGAGGCGTAGTTTCTTCTTCTTGATTCCGTGGTTCGACCCCAATTTTTTGGCGTCTAAGGGCATATCTCCTGCGCCGTCGGCGCGCCGCTAGTCGGAATAATCTTTTGCCGCTACAGCACGATGAAGCGGCGCCTCTCCAGCAGCACCCCAATTCCTTCCCTCGGGCCGGCGGGCGCCATTCGTGTGCCCGGCGGGCGCCACAGGGTCCGCAGCAACCTGCCAGAGTTGCATGCAGTGTTTGGGAGTCGTCATCGGAGGGAGAGTTCCTTCCTTCCTTCACTCGAGAAGGTAGCGCACGCACAGACGGCCCACCGTCACGAACGGCGGGCCGTCAGGAGGGCGAGACGGAGCGCGCACTGGCCGAGAGCGACGAGGGCGAAGGTGGCCCCGCACTGGCTGCCAGTTCGAAACTCGTTGGGACCGGGGTTCGACTGGCTCCATGAGGCAAAATGGGTTGAGAATGATGAACAAGTACAATGCCGGCGTTCTCATGGGTGGGTCCCAGCCCCTGTCTGTAACACACGTGTCACCAAGATATTCAAATATCTACACGGCGAGGTTGCAAACAGTGAATATGAGGTGCGACCTGCGGCATCCCTTTGGACACGGCGTACTCAGTGTTGACTGTGGCCGGTGTTCTGAACGTTCTGAGAACGCATTCCCAGCCTTGCCATTCTGATCATTCCCCTTACCTTGTAAACTCAGACCAGGCCCGCCCCCGGCCCAAGCAAAAAACAAACTTTGCGCGCAAAAGGGGAGCCGAGGAGTCGAACCTCGATCGCGGGAGCCACATTCCCGAATCATGACCACATTAGACCAACCCCCCATAACAGGATGGTAGTCCCGAGACTAACTAAGCGTGAGACCCTCGAAAGGTTCTCCAAGTTGTTTGTTTGCTGTGACCATCCTGACCCTCTCCCTCGCACACGACTTATATCCAGCCCTCGCGGACCGTGCCCCGTACACTTGTGGCGGCGTCCGCTGTCCGGGTCCAGTCGTTACTCCGAGTATGAGACTTCCGTTCCGGACACGACCACGACGCAGACCGGAGGACGTGTGCCACTCCACTACGCCCAAACTCACACGATGCCGTCCACTACGCCCTGCTCCTCCGCCTCCGCCTTCGTTGCGATGATGGACTCCAAGACGGCCGGCGAAACTGTGCGCTCGAGCACTCCGACGCCGGCTCCCCGCTCGTCGCCCTCTTCTTCAAGCTCGTCCGCTCGCTGCCCGACGACTCTCTCGCCTCGCTGACCGCCGCCGTGCCCGCCGAGCCCGCCTCGCTCGCCGACCTGACGGTGCTCGCCTTCCAGACCCGTGCAACACGCGGTATGGGCAAGGGCGAGAAGGACCTCTTTTTCAAGATGCTCGCCGCCCTCCCCGTCGAGGCTGCGACGGCGACGCTCCACCTCGTGCCGCACTTTGGCTACTGGAAGGACTACCTGCTCATGCAGGGCGTCGCTGGGATCGACGCGGCGGTCAAGGACAAGGCGCTGTCGCTCCTCGCCGACCAGCTGCTCAAGGACGCGGCCGAGCTCGAGGCGGCCGAGAAGGAGGCGCGCACCCCGAACCTCACCCTGGCGGGCAAGTACGCGCCCCGCGAGGGCTCCGCCTTTGACGGCCTCGCCAAGCGGCTCTCCACACACCTCTTCGGGAACAAGAACGCGGCGGCGTCGGCGCGCAAGTACCGCAAGCTCGTCGCCTCCCTCAACCGCGCCCTCCTCACCACCGAGGTGCTGATGGCGGCCAACCGCTGGGCGGAGATTGAGTTCGCGCGCGTCTCGTCCCTCTGCCTGCAGCGGTCGCGCAAGGCCTTCCTCAACGAGGCGCTCAAGGGCAAGCTGGCGCCGGCGCAGGAGGAGACGGGCAACCGCCACCCCGAGGACGAGCAGCGCGTTGCGGCGCGGCACAACCTGCGCAAGGCCCTCCTCGAGAAGGGCGCCAAGGCCGTCAAGGGCAAGCAGCTGTATCCGCACGAGATCGCGCAAAAGTGCATGCGCGGCGGCCGTACCGAGCTGTCGACCCTCGAGGCGGACCTGATGCACGCGCAGTGGGAGGCGATGCGCGAGGGCGTCAAGGAGGCGATGGCGGCGGCGGCTGAGGCGCGCGAGGCGGCGGTCGCCGAGGCGGCGGGGGAGGGTGCGCCGCTCGAGGCGGTGGCGGCGCTGCGGGCGGCGCTGCCAAAGCCGGTCGACCTCGGCAAGCTGGTGCCGCTGATCGACGTGTCTGGGTCGATGGTGGGGACGCCAATGGAGGCGGCCATCGGCCTCGGCCTGGTTGTGGCCGAGCTAGTCCCACCCCGCCTTCCGCAACCGCGCCATCACCTTCGAGTCGAGCCCGCAGTGGGTGCACCTCGACGGCGCAGGCAAGGTGGCGTCCAAGGTGCGGGCGCTGCAGGGTGCCAGCTGGGGCGGGTCGACCGACTTTGAGGCGGCGTGCGAGCTGGTCCTGGGCTGCGCGGAGCGCGCCCGGCTCAAGCCGGACGAGGTGCCCGACCTGATTGTCTTTTCCGACATGCAGTTCAACGAGGCGCGGGGCGCGCACTGCATGTACGGCCGCTACGGCGGCGGGCGGTCCGCGTCGTGGGAGACCCACCACGAGCGGCTGACGCGGCGCTTCGCCGAGGTTGGGCGCGCGGTGTGCGGCGAGCCGTACGCCGCGCCTCGCATCATCTATTGGAACCTGCGCGGGAACACGGCGGGCTTCCCAGTGCAGGCTGACGCGCCCAACACGCAGATGCTCTCCGGCTTCTCGCCGTCGCTCCTCAAGCTGGTCCTAGCGGGCAAGGACCTGGTGGGCGACGAGAAGCAGGTCCGGCTGCCCGACGGCACGGTCAAGGTGGTGCGCGAGGGGCCGACGCCGGAGGAGACGGTGCGCGCCGCCCTCGACGACCCCGCCTTTGACGCGGTGCGGCTGGCGCTGGCGGGCGTGGAGGAGGGGCCGCTCGCGGGGTACTCGTTCGAGAAGGACGACGCGGTCGTGGTGGCGGACGCGCCGATGGCGGAGGCCTTTGAGGTGGTGTGAGTGGCGTTGTGAAATATTTCTCTTCTCTAATAAAACAAGACTCCCGCGTTCCCACCCCCACTTGCCGGAGCGCGGCCCCAGACACTGGCATACGTGCCTTGTCTCGCCGTCGCCGTTGGAGCAGCGCCAAGCATCGCCGTCGGACGGTGCGCCATCGCCGTTGGCAGACGCGAGTAGCCGTCCTCTCTCGCCACCCTGGAAGTGTCACGGTCCGTGCAGAGCGGCCGCGATCGAGCCTCCGACCGGCCGCGTGGTCCCGCCCACCGCACCTCGCGACGTGCCTTGTCTCGCCGTCGAGGTTGGTGCCGTCGCCGTTGGAGCAGCGCCATCGCCGTCGGACGGTGCGCCATCGCCGTTGGCAGACGCGAGTAGCCGTCCTCTCTCGCCACCCCGGGAGCGTCACGGGCCGTGCAGAGCGGCCGCGATCGAGCCTCCGACCGGCCGCGTGGTCCCGCCCACCGCACCTCGCGTACGTGCCTTGTCTCGCCGTCGCCGTTGGAGCAGGGCCATCGCCGTCGGACGGTGCGCCATCGCCGTTGGCAGACGCGAGTAGCCGTCCTCTCTCGCCACCCTTGGACCGCGAAGATGTAAGAAGCCACGTCGACGGGGCTGTGCGACCTGTGCGGCCTACTGGGCGGCGTGAGAGCAATCGAAACGAGGAGGAGGACACGGAAGAAGAGGAGGAGGAGGAGGAGGAGAGGGCGTTTAGGGAGGAGCGGACACGCGTACTCCGAGGAGAGGCACCTCGACGATGACGCTGCAGGAGTTTTCGTACCTCGAAAACCGGGTCTTTGCGCGCGCCTCGGCGCGCGCGGCTCAGCCGGCGCTTTCGAGGTTCGAGGAGCTGGGAGACGAGATACGGGTCGAGGGGGCTCGCTTGGGGGCGCTCGAGTTCAAGGCGAAGGAGGCTTTTCTAGCGCGGAGCGGACTTAGCGGCCAGGCGTTGGAGGCCGAGGAGATGCGGTTGATGCGGCCTGGATGCGGCTGAGGGAGGGGGCGAGCGTGCTCCGCAGGACGCCTGCCACGGCCACGCCCCTCGGGGCGAGGAAGGCGGGCAAGCGTGCAGCGGAGGCGGCGCGCTGGGCGATTGCGCTTGAGAGGGAGGTGTGGGTTGACGGGGAGTGCCGGGGTGGGCGTCGTAAGGGTGAGGGCGATTGCCGCCCTCCCCCCTTCGCCCACCTCGACGCCTTCGTGTAGGCGCCCCCGCGACTGTGCCTCTTTTGGTACTGTCGCGTACCTGTGTCGAACCTGTGTGCTGTCAGAGGGCACCTGGGCTTCGTTGAACCTACGCGCCGCGTGGGGCACCGCTGTGCGAATGGAGCCGAAAGCCCACCTCGGTCAGAGTTACAGGACAAACAACCCGACGTGGACGCGGACAACATTGGCAAGGACGGCACGCACTATTGCGGAGACGTCAAGCAAGGCTGTGCCCAGCCTCAGATGGGCAGCAGGCAGCAGCCCAGCGGGCCAGCCCAGCCACGGGGGGCCGGCGGCGGCCGCGGCGGGGTGGCTCAACATGGGCTTGGGCACCACGCGCCATGCCAAAAAAAGAAAAACATTCGGGAAATCTGTGGTTGGTAGGTGGCGGGAAATGAGTCGGCTTTGGCGCCAATGTGCGCCATCTCTATCCTGGACGTGTACAACGCGCAGCGATCGCCGGCGTTCTGCGGAGCGCAGAGGAATCAGAAGATGCGGATGCTGTGGATCGAGCTGCTCAAAAAAAAACGGAGTCCGTGCGGCTGCATGCGCGAGCCCTTGTCGGCGGACATGAAGCGGCTCAGTCACGCGGTGCGGGCTGCAAACCTCGACTCGGTGGCGAAGCTCTTCCGAAACGCGAGGCAGCGGGGCAAGGTCGACGATCTAGAGGCCCGGCTCTCGGCCGAGCCGTTCAAGATGCCCGAGCACACCGCCGCCTGCTCGCACGCGGCGGCGTCCAGCGAGACTACCGCTGACGCAGCGGCGGCGGGTGGCGGCGGCGCGGCACCGCCGCCGCCCGCGGCGGAGCTGCCCGAGGTGATCCTGAGCGTGGTGCCCTCGACCGAGACGCCGGCCGACGTCGCGCCGTCGTGCGAGGTGGCCGACCAGGTCGCCACCGGCTCCATCGCGACGGCGTCCGGCGCGACCACCGATGCCGCTGCCGCAGCGGCGGCGGGTGGCGGCGGCGCGGCACCGCCGCCGCCCGCGGCGGAGCTGCCCGAGGTGATCCTGAGCGTGGTGCCCTCGACCGAGACGCCGGCCGACGTCGCGCCGTCGTGCGAGGTGGCCGACCAGGTCGCCACCGGCTCCATCGCGACGGCGTCCGGCGCGACCAACAATGCCGCTGCCGCCGAGGCGGGCGGCGGCGGCGGCGGCGCGGCGCCGCCGACTCCCGCGGCGCCGCCGCTCGAGGCGAGCGATAGCACGCCGGCGCCGGTCGAGACGCTGGCCGGCGACGCGCGACCGGCTCGCAGGTCTGCTGTTCCCGCCGGGTTCTGGGGAGCGGCGACGCGGCAGCTCGAAAACCAGCTGCACGGGGCAGAGGACGCGGCGGCGATGCGACACGTCAAGGCCGAGAGCGAGTCGCGGAAGCGCAGCGCTGCCGAGACTAAGGCGGCGAAGGCGGAGGAGGGGGCGGCCGCTTTGCAGAGACAGCTACGCAAGTTGCAGCAGCAGCTTCAGCGGACGGAACGGGCGCTCAAGACCTCTCACAAGCGGGAGGGCACCATGCGCTCGAAAATGAAGTCGACCAACTCGGGCAACCTCGCGAAGCAGGTCGTCAGCCTGACGGCCTCGGTTGAGGAGCTCAAAGCTAAGCTCGCCGCCGAGCGGCGCACGAGTGGGAACCTCGTGATGGAGCTCGAGACGGCGACGGGCGAGGCGGAGGAGGCGCGGGTGGCGCAGGCAGCTGCGGAGGAGGAGGCGACGAAGACGAAGAAGGCGGCGGCGGCAAAGGTGAAGGGGCTGCAGAGCGGGAGGTCGATGGAACGCCGGCGCTCGAAGGCGGCGCACAAGGAGAAGGGCATCCTAAAAACCGTGGTGCCGAGAGACGCGAGCTCGCCCCTCTGTCGACTGTCCCTCTCGCGTCTAAGCTCTCCCTCCCCACCTCCACGTAGGTCAAATCGCAGGACATCTTGCTGGCGAAGCAGGCCGCCCAGTACAAGAAGGCGCTCAAATCTGCCGAGGATCAGCTCGCGGAGCACGTGCAAAAGGAGAAGCGCGCGTTGGCGGCGGCCGAGGCAGCCCAGGCTCTGTCCCGGCGCGACAAGGCGGCGATGCAAGAGGAGCGCGCGCAGCTGGCGCGCGAGGCGACTAACTCGGCCGCACGCGCCGCGTGCATCGAGATGCGGCTGGCGGATGCGCAGGAGGCGCTCAAGGCCTTCAGGGACTTTAGCGCGCTCGAGAGGGGTCGCTACAAGGACCAGGTGCGCATCACGTACTACAAGTTGCTCAACCGCAAGGTGCCGTCCAACCAGATCGAGGGCGTCGTGCGGGATGTGCTCAAAATGGTCGGGATAGACCCCAAGAGGTGCGTGCGGTTGTGTAGTTGTGGTGTGTATGTACGTCTCCGCACCTCCCCAGCGCCCATGTACCCGAATCCCCTGTGCAATGCCAATGGCACCTGTCCCATGACGCAGGCTGCCCAAGTCCTCCTGCGCCGAGCGCATGCGGCACGAGATGAGCGGAGTCGCGGACGTCGTCGCCGGCGTCCAGCTCGCCGTCGCCGACAGGGCGATCGGCGCCTCCGACGACACGACCAAGATGCAGCAGTCCCAGGGGACGAACAACGTGCACTTCATCGACAAGGGCCTGGCCTGTGCCCCGTTGACCGGCTCGAGCCACCGCAACACGGTCAACATCGGCATCGCCGATATGGCCGTGGGCACCGCTGACGCCAAGGCCAAGCACTTCTCCTCCGACCTGGCGCGGTGCCGGCGAGCGGCCACCGAGGCCGTGCCCGACTTCCACGGCCATCCCAAGGCCTATGATCGGGTTACGGTCTCGCTGCTGACCGGCTGGTGCAGCGATCGCGCGGCGGTGGAGACGTGCCTCGCGAGGAAAGTCAGCGAGCTCAAGGGCGCCGAGGCGCGCCTCCGGGAGGGCGAGGACATGCTCTCGGCGCTGCGAGGCGGCATCGGCGTGCAACTCAAGGCGACATCAGGCGGCGGGGTTTCTGTGCAGCTGTCGTTGGCGCCGCGGAGCCGGACGCGGCTAGCTGAACTCGAGGATGAGGCGCAGCGCGTCGTCGCCGCCGAGCCGGGCGCCAAGGAGCTCAAGCCCGAGCAGCTCCTCGCGAGGATCGAGGCGGAGTGCGTCCGCAAGCTTGGCGAGGAGTGGTGGGCCTCGCTGTCGGAGGTCAAGCAGGCGGAGGTGTCTAACATCCATTTGGCGACGTGCTCGCTGCACAAGAACACCAACACCAACAAGGGCGTGATGAAGGGGATCGTCCGCGCGTACCACGAGATCAAGGAGGAGCGCGCGAGGGCGGCTGCGCCGCCTCGAGAGTGGCCGCAGCAGCCGGCGGCGGCGCCGGCGGACGCTCCGCTGGAGGCGGCGCCGGGAGCGGCGCCGGGAGCGGCGGCAGCGGCGGGCTCGGCGGCGGCGGAGCAGGCGCGGGGGGCGGCGGCTCAGCCTCAGCGTGCGGCGTGGCCGACGGCGGCGGGCGCGGCAGGTGCGGCGGGTGCGGCGGGCACAGCAGACACGGCCGCCGCGCCGGCCGCCGCCGGGCCGCCCGCGGCGACGGTGCCCCCCTCGGCGCCGCCGTCCACGGAGGACAAGACCGTCAAGGGGAACATCATCTCCAGGACGT